ATTTTCAAAAAGAAAAGCCCTAGTGACTAGAAATATTAATTTTCAACTAGCATCTGGTCAATTCACATCCTGCCAAGTCTTTTGCATACAGTTTCAGAGTTGTTTTGTTTTAACAAATTTGGTTCTAACCACTTGGAACAATGAAGTTTATTAAGATAATAAATCAGGTCAGGAGAGCAATTAGCGCCAACTGAGTGCCTCTCCTGTACCAGGCAGAGTTGCAGCGGCTTTAAATACACTATTTCATTTAATCTTAACATTATCATCTTGAAATTACTCCTCTACCTTCATAGATACGAGGGAAAACTACTTGAGAGTCATTTAGCTAAATAGCAAAGCTGGGGTGCAAATATACCTAGAATAGTAGTTAAAATAACTACTGCTACCATCATCCAACTGTATATTTTCCGCACCTTTTAAATAGGATCAAAAGGAAAAGCACTAAAAGTACCTGTTCCACTTCAAATACTCATGGCTTATATCCAAATGCCTGAATGCACTTAAAACTAGGCCAGTCCTCAACTCATAAAGCAGTCATTAAAACCCATCACTGAAGCTACTGGGGTACTTGACTTCAATCCAAACCATAGTCCTAAAGAAATCATGAGAAAGGATGTTTCAGACCAATCTAAAATGATTTAAGAGCAGTGCTTCCTGTCGTAGCTCATGCTGCCAAATTCTGTTCTGATATATGGAACCCAGTAAGGCAGTATTTAGGGAAAAGGACAGCATTCCTATAACCCTCTTTTCTTTTATAGTAAGACATAATACATCTCAGGGATAATTCTGACCTTCATTCATTTATTGGACATTAACTGGACATCTGTACTCTGTCAGGTGCTACTACTAGAAATCATACTTCTCCTTAAAAAATTCAGTGTAACAATTTAACAAGCCATATGACAAAATGTGTACTCCTAGAGTGGATCCTTCTCTCTATTGATACAAAAAAATCAAGATAACCTTTCGAAAGGCCAAAATAAGAGTTACACAATCCAAGTTCTAAAGCTCACACTTTATTAATTAGCTAGTTGTCCAAACACTCACTGATTCCCTTGGTTGTATCTTATACACGTTAACAACAGATTTGGTTTTCTATGGACATATCCTAGATGGGCCACTTACTAGCTTCATGCCCTTAGGCAAGGTACTTCACTTGTCTGAGCCTTGGTTTGCACATTGGAAAAATTAGTATGAACAGCTACACTTCAAGACTGTTAAAAGGATTAGAGATGACGATGTAATGAGCCAACACAGAGCCTGGCATTTAGTATAAGTGCAATAAATATAGCTAATATCATAATCACAGGATTTATAAGCCAACAACAAATTGATCAGAAAAATCAAACTACAAGGAATTGGGGGTCAGGTAAAGAACAAAGATAGCTCTAAGAGTAAATAGCTGACAGCAAAGAAAGAGTCAAGAAAACTATATAGATACAAAAACAGAAACTGAAGCCACCAACCTACACACTTCAATAGCTATTGAGGACATCACTAATGTTTTCATAAGATGTAAAAATGATGTGCCTGGAGATGACATTAAACCCTTTAAAACAGATTAAACTTTTATTCTGTGTGTTTAAAAAAAGATAAGCACATAAGTGACTTTTCAAAGATTCCTCTCAACAGTGATTTAGCGTCACAAATATAACATGTTAGATATCTAAACTTTAATTAACTGCAAAACTCTAGTACCAAGCTTCTGTTATACTTAGTGTTAAGGAACCTCTCAAATTTCAGAAGCAATTTTTTTAACTAAACACTGAAAAAGATCTATTTCAAACAAATTAATTGTGAAATATTTAAACACAATGTCCTAAGACATCGTCAGTTTCTTAATAGCTAAAACAAGATAAAGTTTTATTCTCCCTCATAGCTAAATGTTTTTATATCTACCAAAGAGACACAAACATGCACCATGGAGATCCCTTTTCACTTGAATTTTCTCCCTACATTTGGAAGGCAGTAAAACGTGAAAAACATCTGTCCCTTCCTGCAGAGCTGACAACTCTCATTCTATGGTTTAAAAATAAAAGATCCTTATGGAAGCTTATAGATATAATGATCACCTGCCTCGAAGGCAGCTGGCAATTAATTGATCCAAATACTTGCAAAATTAAGACCAAAAAAACGATTCTCCAAGGACAATGCTAGGATTCCCCAACCCTCTGGTAATTTCCAAGACACCCATAAAAAATAGCAGAGGATAGTAAAGAAGAAAATGTTACGGCAGATGACAAGACAAGAGTCAACAGCTGAGAAACACAGGCCTGCGTCAGTCTGGATTCACTCCACCACCATAAGAATAGTTTCCGTGAGAGCTGCCTAGAGAAAATCTGGTTCACTCTGGCCAACAACCACCTTTCATCCAGCCCCCAAGGAAGGCCAGATGTTCAACCATTAAACGAGAACACCTTATTAAAAACAGAAACTGGAAAACCTCATAAGTAAAGGCCCTAAGTCCTATAACATTTTTAGAAACAGCTTTTACTCTATGTATCATCTCAAAGCTCTGAACATCCAAACAGGAGTAATAAGCAAGGACATTCAGACTTGAATCAGTAGACTTCGCTTCTATTTCTGGCTCTTCCTCTGAATGAATCACAGTATGACCTTGAGAAAGTTATTTCACCTCCTTCTCTACCTCCATTTCCCCACCAGTCACAAGGGTAGATTAAACCTACTGATTTTTTTTTCCTGAACATTGCCAAGTGAATGAGATAAACCCATGGAAGCTGCTACACAAAAAATTTATCTGCTGATCACTGACCAGTGATTCCATCAAATACAAAAGTAGGTGATGTCGACATTTAAATGACTAACTCTGTACTTTTCTCTGCCCAGAGAAAAAATCTGCCTGGAGAGGTCAACAAAATCCAGATACTTTCTGATCAGAACTCCTTTAAGAGTCCCAAATTTCAAATTTGGAAATACTTAGCAAATTAAAATAAAATGCAAGTTTTAAGAAGACACTTTTTAAACAGAAAACAAACCTTCAGCCTATTTAGAGCCCTATGATCTTTCAGGCCTCTATTCAATCCTTCTTTGTCAAGTCTTCTTTCCTCACCCCCCCCGCCAAGGAGATAAGCCAGCCACTGCATCCTTGGTGCTCCCTGCACACCGTGCACTGTATTTATTTCATGTCACCTCTTTATTTAGTCAGTGAGCCGTGGAAAGGCAGAACCATAATTTAATGGTCCGTGTACTAGCTATCATCCAGCATATTGCCTGGCACAATACGGCTGCCCAGTATATACAAAAATATATATGTATATATCTCACATACACATGTACATACACACATATATATCTACACATGCATGTATATGCAAATGTGTGTATATACATATATCTGCAAATATACATGTATATTTGCTAAATGAATAAATTTCCAAAGCCTTATGCTATATTAAAATTATCAATCATTAACATTAGTGATTGATAACCTTAATGATGGTGAATTATTTTCATTTTTAGAAAAATTTACAAATGAATGTTACCTAAAGAGAAAATATATGACTTCTCACCAATATTAAATTCACAAAAATTAACTCAAGAGCTTTCCGATCTTCATCCATCAAAAATGTCTTTTTTTGTTGTTGTTTTGCATGTTTCTTATAATTTATCTAGTGGGCATAAAACTACAGACATTCCTTTTAACTGAATCCATACAATCGAGAAGGGTGGAAAAGAAGAAAAAAGAGCATGTGAAATGAATAGAAAAATCTACTTTTAAGTATAAGATTCTACAAAGCAAAATAAAAGCCCATAGATGAAAATAAAAATGTGGTCAATAAAAGTAGCTATCACATTTAGCCAGCTAAAAAGTATCTGTCATCACTGAGAAATTTCATGAAGGTAATGTTTGATAAATAACATATTTATTAAAATAATAGATTTTAAAATTTTTCATATTGCACTTGAATTTTTTAATCAAATATTTATCACAAACCTGCCAACACTCACATAAGGTTTTTTTTTTTCTTTTTTCCTATTCATTAAACTCTAACACTCTATTTCATTCAATAATTAAAAGTAGATGTTAAGTAAACGGGAAACAAATTGAAACTTTACCAGTGAGCTCTTGGGGTAAGGCCTTGGGACCTATAAGCTGGTAAGCAAGGATAAACTCATTATACTACTTGACACTGACCACAGAAAACTGATCCTTTAGCTGCGCTCTATGCTGCCCTGAGCGTGAGAGTCTGTAACAAATGCTACGGAGGAGGGGTATCAGTTGGACCAGGTGTGTTTTTGGCCTTCTCAATCGCCTTCACTACCTCCAAACTACAGCCTGTTTTGACTGGATCATGAAACCGAATGAAAATTATCCCTACTATTCCATTTATTTATTAATTTTCTAATAGTACATACCAGATTTGCTTGCATCAGCAAACGGAAGTGACCGCTTAATTTGCCCAAATAGTAGAACCCTGATTGCTGCAAAATAGGAGCTACATATTACGTGTGTGTCTACATGTACATACACACATACACATAGGTATTAGAGCGGTCAGAGAACGTGTTTGGATAGCGCTAGAATAAATGATTTGTGCCTCCAACACCGACCCTTGCAAAAAGACCATGAACCATTTTATTCTTTTTAATGCTATGGTGATGAGGAGGGAAAGAGAAGAATGATGGTTCAGCTAACAAGGCAAAAAAGAAGTTTATCTGCTTGGCGTGACCCTGAGCATAGAGAACAGCAGATGTTCGGTTAAATGGACAGAGAGAGCATCCTTTTCTTGAGATGACTTAGGACAGACACGACTGAGTTGTTTCCTACAACACCTTGTAAGAAAACTGAAAACCAACAAGCACACGTCCAGGGTACTTCGCCGAGGGGGTTAGGTGGGAAGAACAGGATTCCTTATGAAGAAGAGACCTGCCGCCAACTAGCAGGTCACAGCCTTTCAGAGCCCAGGGATGGAGGGTGGCCAAAGGCCCTGATTGGCAGGCGACGTGCGACCTGGAGGCGGGCAGCAGGGTGCGCTCACCTGTGAACACATTCTGGAAGCCATCTGCAGCCGCGGGCGCCCCAGACGCCTTGGCGGCCGATGCCGGGGACACCCCACCGCCGCTACCTTCCGTGGCCACTCCGCACTCCAGCAGGTGCGCGGAGCCTCCCGGCTGGGGCGAGCGGCCGCCGAGCTCCTCGGTCCAGTCCGCAGAACGGCTGAGGCCGCCAGCAAGGCCGCCTTCGACCCGGTGCTTTTTGGCCGGGGCGGCTGCGGAGGCCAGAGCAGTTCTGGGCCCCCGACTCAGGGAGGGCTCCAGCCGCCTCTTGATCCTGGGGCTCTGGCTAGGGGACTGGGACGGGGAGTGGTTGGGCGAGCTGAGCTGCCGAGTGGTGGTCTTGATGTAGCAGGGGGTGATGAGTGGGTAGGGCTTGAAACAGCGCGGGCTGGGCGCGGGGCTGCCGGGCAGGGAGGCGGCAGTGGGGGTGCCGGGCCCTCGCGCCCCCTCCTCCGGCTCCCCCTCCCGCCTCTGCGCGGCCTCCTCTCCCACCTCCGGGCCCCACTCCTCCCCCGGAGAGCCTCGGGAGGCATCCTCAAAAGCATCCTCCTCGCACTCCTCATCCGTGTCCCCAGCCCTTTGCACGGGAGCTCCGACCGCGCTCTCCCCCGGCCCGGCCTCGGGAAACGGGAAGGCCGTGGACGAGGGCGAGTCTTCCGCCCCGGGCTGGGCCCCCGGGAGGCCGGGCGCCTCGGAGGAGAGGAGGCCGCCCGGGGTCCGCGGCTGCTCGGGCACTGAGGGCTCAGCGACCAGGCTCTCGGGCAGGTCGGAGAGCGCGGACAGCGCCTGCTCTGTGTCCACACTGTCCCGGGCTTCCGCAGCCCCGCCGCTCGGCCCCCGCAGGAACTGGTCCAGGCCCAGGAAGGCCCCAGGCTGAGGGGAGGTGGCGGTGGGGGGCGCTGCAGGCTCCTCGGAGCCCTGGAGCAGCAGCTGCTGCTGCTGCTGCTGCAGGCGGATCGCCTGCTGGATGTCTGAAAGCAAATCCTCTTGCTCCGTGGCAGAGTGAAAGCTATAGATGTCCGTGTCCGAACCCGAACTGGTCCTTTGTCCATCCTGCGCCCCTGGTGCAGTTTCTAAATCCTCGGCGACCGCGCGGCCGCCGACCCCAGCCTCAGCAGGCCCAGGACCCCCTACACGGGTCACCTCAAAAGGGTCCGCACACTCGGTGTCCGACAGGCCCGTCTCGTCCGCCGAGAGGCTGAGGTCCGGGGTCTTGGTGAGCAGGGAGTGAGCGCTGTCCAGCTCCCCGGTCTGCAGGGCCTGGGTGTCCAGCACATCCTCGCGGGAGCCCCCAGAGCCTTTCCCCTTGGACAGGTTCTTCCTGATCCGCAGGTTGGAAAACACCGAGGCTCTGGAGTCCGACTTGCTCTTCTTCTTGCCGGGCTCCCCGCCGCCGCCCCCTCCCCCCTTGCCGTGCTTGCCCAGCGCCTTCTTGCCCCCGCTCCCCTTCTTTGTGGCTTCCGCATCCCTGGGCCCCACAGCATCCTCGGCGCCGCCGCCTTCGTGCGAGGCATCACCTGCGCTCCTCTTCAGCTTCCCATCCTGGTTCCCCATGTTGCAATCCCGCCGCTGCGCCGCCGCGCCCCGGGCACTCAGGCCATCCCGGCCCTCCTCGGCCCCGGGCCCGGGCCGCGGGAGTCTCCGGGGCGAGTCAGGCGGCGCGGCGAGGAGCTGGGAGGAGAGGCCGACGCGCTCCCGGCCGGTCCGGCTCGCATCTGCCGCCGCTTTGCATAATGCGCGGCGGCCGCCGTCGCTGCGGCTGCGGCTGCGGCTCCGGGCCGGCGGGGCGCGAACATGCTCAGTGCAGCGCGCGGCGCCCGCCAATGGCTGCTCGGGACGCAGCGTGGGCCTGGCCCCGCGCCCGCCGCCGCCCCCTCGGCCCCCGCCCGGCTCCTCGCAGAACCTGGGCGCGAAAATCCTTTCCTCTATCTTGGGGACTTTAACTTCCACCGTGCGAATCGAATGCATCCTCCCCTCCGGAAGAACTCATCAGCTGGCAGATGCACTGGGAACTTCAAAGCTCCTGCACCTGCCACGAGAAAAGTTCAAGAAAAAAGAAGAAAATTTTACACAGGGGGAAAAACTGAAGCCAAATTCCAGTCTAGAGAGGGGCCATCATATCATGGCCACATACACCACCCCCTGCCTGCCTCTGCATGGCTCTTCAGTAAATATTTGTCGAATGAATGGATTGTTCTGTGTCTTAAATAATTGATCGTCCCCCTGAACACTGTTAATGCGCTTGAACATATGGTTTAGGAAAGGTTACTACGCATGGTGTTACTTTTACGTTGCACACAGACCCCGCTTGTCCAAGAGAGGACATTAGCTGTCATTTCCAAAGTTGGCTTATGGAACTGTTTTTTTTTTTGACAGAAAAAGGAGTGGTGGGGGAGGCAGAAAAAACTGAGATTAGAGTTGATTAAAATGCTAATCTCCAAATTCTATGTGTTTTCCATATAAATTAAACAGCATTTGTATTCAAAAAGAGTGCATATACTATAACTCCCAGGAGGTCAAACTCATCAATATTAAACATGCCACTATTGTGGCCGCCTATAAAAAGGAAAAAAAAAAAAACAAAAACCAGAAAGGAAACACCCTTGGCACAAACACACAAAAATCAGATGTTATGCTATAAACCACCACTTTTCCCAAGCAAGCCCTTCCAGGCACAGTTTGTCCTGTAACAGAGTTTCTTAACACTTTGGCCTCAATATTAGTATAAACACTTTTCCTCATTGTACATTTTGTAACCATTTCAATGATTTATTTAAATAAATATTTTTAAAGTATTTTAAAAATATCATTGGTATCTAAAGAAGCGTTGAGCAGTAAACCAAGATTAAAGTGACATTAATATTATAAATGTTATAGGTATTTAAATTAGAAGTTCATTGTTAACCACTTTGAAAATATGGATAGCTATCCAACTTGTTAATATTTCTAAATAACCCAGAGGAGCGAAAAGTACTACATATTTATACAATGCAATTTCAATGTGGCAAGCAAACGTGGTATTCCTTTGCATATTAGGAACCAACATTTTAAACCTCCCTCAATGATCTTTATCAAAAACAAAACAAACAAAAAGTTGGTCCTGTAAGTCTTTGATTACTAGCGTTTTCAAACTATGTTTTTAAAAATAAATGTAACTTAAGGGCAGGTAGCCAGCTGTCCTCAGGTGGCCCTTTAGAGTAAATGGTAAATCAACTTTAATAACTTTGCCAGGGTAATATTCCAGTCTTCAAGTGATTCCAGACTACTTGAAAAGCCTTTGTTTCCTCTTTCACAAGACTGCTCTCTTCTTTCTTCTAGAATCTAGGCTCCTCAGAGGGCACAATTTGCCTGTGGCTATTAGAATTTTCCGCTTCTATGAGTGCTTAAGGTACTTTTCGAATCTTGATTTTTGCTCTTTCTTTTACAGAACATCTTTGATTCTGAACTACTGGTTTCCTTATTTTCTTCTGTGATAAATTCTAGAAGCACAGAAGACAAAAGAAGGGAGGGAGAGTGGGAGGGAGAGAGCTGCTGATTTTTTTTCACATCCTTTGAATATGAAACAATAGGTGACAGTTGTGCAGCAGGTCACAGCTGGCAAAGCTTTATTGCATGCAAAGGCTCATTGGAAACTCACAAGTGTGGGGATCAAATATAGGTAAGTACTCTCAACCCAATAATAATTAATGCATAAACTCAGGCTCAGAGAGGCTAAGAGATTTGTCCGAGGTCACATACCATCAGAGGCAATACTTGAATCTACAAATTTATTTATAACACACAACACCCATATAGTTTACTCTTTGGGGACTGGTAAGGATATCACAAAGGCAAACTGCAAAGCTTTGCCAATACATTCTTTGGTATTTAGTAGGTATTTAGTAGTCCCAAAGATGCCAGGGACATGATCTTCATTTAACTCCATTTGTCCAAGTAAGAATATCATATCTGTGGTTGAAAATATACATTTAAGAAATAATTAGAGATCCTACCTTGTGCCTGGCCATATCCTAGTTTCCATGATACACAAGAGAAATAGGTGATGTGACCAGACTCTACATCCAAAGATCTAACCTAGTGTAATTCTTGGTAAAAGTCTTCAGTATTAGTATCCCAAATGGTCACAAAAACTGTAAACAAAATAAAAGGTAGTGCCACCCATTTTCCAGCAGAGGAAATTGAATATGGATTTTCAAAATAAAATCAGTAAAAGTAGGTGGGAAAACTTATCTAAACACATAAATATTGAACTCTAGTTGATAATACGTATACTGATGTAGTTGGCTTAAATGTACTAATCTCTGCACCTAACTCTAAAATGTGTCAAAAATAAGATGATTTAATGGGTGCATGGACAGATATGTGATAAACCATATATGATGCTTCTCACCTGGGGAGATGATTTTGCTGCTTAGGGAACATTTGATACTGGAGACATTTTTGGTTGTCACGATGGGGCGTGGGGATGATGTTACAGGCACCAGGGTTGCTGCTAAACAGATTGCTTCCCCATAAGCAAGAATGATTCCACCCAAAATGTCGCTAATACTGTGGTTGAGACACCTGCTTCATCATAACGCCTCTCACAGCTGACAGTCAATAAATGGCTACTGAATGAGTGAAAGAAGAAATCAAAATTATATTTCTCAATTAATCGATTGAGATCAATCACTAAATCAATCACTAAATCAGAAACTTGAAGGCAGAACCTAACAGAACAAATATGATTTTTAAACACTGTATCTAGAGTACCAAATATCTTAAATGGAGAATTATCTCTTCTCTAAGACATTCAAAGTTCCATGACATTATGCAATCTGTATAAATATGCCAATTCCCCACTTGGTAACATTATAATAAGCCCTTGCTCTTACTAGAAATTTTCTGGTAACCAGGATGGAATTCCCAGAGCTCATTTTACAAGGATGATTACATACATCACAAACACGTTGTTAAGTACCTTTCAATTTTTACCACTGCTATTCATTTTATCCTCAATGCAGAACTTAAAAATAAAGGGTTTACAAAACAGAGAAAAAGTAGAATATTACTTTCCCCAAGCAGTATAGAATGCACTACAAATTTGTTTCTATATTAGAAAAATTAAAGTAAAGGTAAAAAATTCTAGATCACTTAAGTTCTTCCCTGCTGCAAATGGAACATAAATGCCATTGTCTCCTAACCTCTGGAAAACTCATTGGATTTCTGGGAAAACTACTCTCTTGGTTTGTAGGCAAGTTTGAGCTTTCAACACATATTTGCCAAAAAGTTTTTGAATTATTTGGAACTGAGAAACAAAGGAAGACATGAAAACATTTATTTTGTTCTTATATCACAGAGAAATTCCTACAAAGGTAAAGGGTTCTGGTATCAAGTCTCTAGACATACCCTTTGTAAGTAAAGACATACTCTTTCTATCTGAAGGGGACCATTTAGGTTCTAAGTGAGTTGTCAAAACCACTCAGAATTCCTTGTGAAAGTGAGTCCACCCATAAGGTACTTTGTTCAGTGGCAAGAAGTGGCGAAAAACATTCTAAAGACAGAGCCAATAAGAAAATAAGGTTGAGGAAGGCGATCTTTGGCTTTAAAGCAGGGCTCTGCAACAGAAATACTGTATAATGTGAGCCTCAGACACAATTTAAAATTTTCTAGTAGCCACATTAGAAAGGTAAAAAAGAAACACAAAATTAATTTTAATAATACATTGTATTTAACACAAAATATGCGAAGTATTTCAATTTGCAAAAATCAACACAAATTATTAATGAGATAATTTACGTGCTTTTTTTCCACTGCAATTCTTTAAGATCTGTGCATATTTTACAGTAACAGCAACATTTCAATTCAGACTGGCCACATTTCAGTTGCTTGACAGAAGCTAATGACTACTGTTTGGGACCCTGCAACCTTAGCCTTAGATTTTTCAGAGCTTGTTGAGCAACATTTAGAACCTGATCCAAACTGTCATGAGTTTTAAAACAGTATTATATATTTTGATGAACTTAAAATGAATCATATATATACATGTATAAAGAGCATTATGTTTTCACATGCAGGCATAACATTTCAGATTTAATAATACATTGTGGAAAAAATTTACAATCCTTTTTTAGCCATTCAGTTTAATAGAGATCTAATAGGGACAAGTCCTTGTCCTTGGCAGAGCTTTGCCACCACTGACATAAAGAATTCACAGAACAGGAAGGACCATGGGAAGGAAAGGAGGAAAGCTGATTCTAGTATAAGTAGGGGTTATAGTATAAGTGTAAGTAGCTAATATAAGTAGTATAAGTAGCTGATTCTAAGAGGGGAGGGCATATTCCAGAGAACACTCTGAGTTTGGTAATATTTTTTTCTGCCTAACTACTAAAATAAGTGCTATCTGCAAAAATTAGGCCAAATACATGAATTTTCATTAAATCAAGGATAACACCAATAGTAGCTTGCATGCACACGTGTTTTGCCTAATAGATATTAATTTGTCTATATTCTTAATGCATGATGTAGATGGTCTTAATATTGATTTAAATCACACAGTTCCCTAAAATCTTCAC